CAATACTAGTTACAGAAATAAAATATACCAAACATATCAATTAACAGATCCAGCAACAACAACAAAAAAATCAACTTTAAAGTTGAACAGCTGCTACTTCATGATAATAAAAACACCTTCACATCCCCTCCACCTCCACACATAACGAGATAGATAGACAATATTTTCAAAAAATAACATAAAGTAAAATAAAACACTGACCAGCTACATATTTTACTGCTAAAACAGACAATAGAAGATTTATTTGACTTCCCAAAGGAAGTAAACAAATTTCAACGATGTTTACATTCCGAATGACAAGCATAACAATGGACATAATATAGCTTATGCGAAAGAAAAGGGAGGAAAAAATTCCAGAAACGCATCACATTCCGTAGGCTTCGCGAGGAAATAAATGAACTAGCTGACAAGAGCGCAAGAAAAACAAATAATAATAATAATAAAAAAACAAAAAACAAAAAAAAAAAAAAAAAAAAAATCACAGCATTCAAGGGTAAAAACACGCAAACAAGTTTATTACTTTACATCCCATTTATGTGAGGGCTCGCTGATACCCGTAGTATCATTTCAAACAGATGAAATTCAATACAAGCATAAATACGCACACAAAAGGACGTTGTTATTCAGAATACATAGCTATGAGTTTTATTTTCCTAAATATTGATTTCAAATCTTTATATTAATACATTTCTTAAAATAGAACAGAATTTCTATGGCAACAATACAGATACTGCTGTTTGTAAAGGTTCAATTTGGGGAGGGGGAAGAAGAAAAGAAAGAAAGATAACGTAAAATAAAACTCGTAAAAATCTTAACAATATACAGTGTTTCAACAAATCGATCACAGACTTTCAGGATTAGATAGAGTACACATTGACGATGGAAAAACACACAGCAATTGTATGGTCAGAAACGCTTACCTGGTGCGATAGCGACGATACAAAGCACAAGAAAGGAAGGCCACGAACAGGGGTACAATATTTGACGAAAACCAAGAAATAAAAACAAAAACAGACTATCGTCAACAAAGAAGGTATTCGAAAATTACGTTCGAAACGTACCCCCAATATGGGATCGGCAGGGTTGATCCGGTGAACTTGCCAGCAAAATCGCCAGACTTCACTTGCATTGACTACTTCCTCTCTGCGGGGGGGGGGGGGGGATACGTCAAGACATTGGTGTACTGAAACCCTAGAAGTGCCGAGAAACTTGTTGCACGCATCGTGGCAGCTGCTGGGGAAGTCCAGGATATGCTCAAGGTATTTCCCAGAACATCAGATCTTCATGTGGCGGAGAACATCAGATTTTCATGTGACCTGCTTCAGGGTCCTGGTTCGTAATTTCGAACACCTTCTTTGATGACGATCGTTGTCTAGTTTTGTTTTTATTTCTTGGTTTCTGCTGTACTAAACGTAATACACATGTTTCCTCACCCGGTACACGTTCTTCCTTTCTTGTGCGTTGTGTTGTCGTTACCGCGCCAGGAAAGCCTTTTCGATTATGCACTGCAATGTGATTTTCCATCGGCTAGGTGTGCTCTAATCTAAGTTTGTAACCGATTTGCTGAAACATCCTGTAGTTTGCTGAAACACACCTTGCTTTCGATTACTCATAATAATAGCCTACAATACTAACCTACAGCTAAATTAATAACCTAACCTACAACATCTAGGTTAGATACTGATGTACGAATTTCTTAACAACTTGACAAATACAACAAATACCACGCGGCATCTTCTTTACGATTGCTGCTGACAACATACGCTGACAAGGCATTAGCAACGCAGATCAGATTCTACTAGGTTCATGATTAAGATTAATATCTTATTTTTAAATTATGCCGATAGCCATTCAGTTTGTGTAAAATTTCGTGAAGTGCCAATAAAAAATAAGATAGAATTTAATTTAAAAGTTACTGTTAATAAAATGTAAGGAATAACTGACACATAATTAGCTAAAAAGTTCTACACCCTAGTACGCACAGTATTCTTAAGGAAGACGCATTCGCTACTAAGTTCTTAAATTTAGACTGCAACGGCACAGAATTTCTTTTTTTCAACCATCCAGAGTACGTTAAATATTTTCACAATAGGATCTTCCTCCAGAATTTAAGAGATTCTCCATATAATTCTGCCTCTTATTCAAGAAATTTTAAAGCTCGAAGCACATAGTAGAATCACTATTTAACGCAGCATTTCCTAAATTGTGGGTACCAACCTAAAATTTAAAAATAAGTGTATTACGAGGCAATTTTTTACGCACGGCGAAACGTTAAAGATTGGTTTTTGTTTTGTTTTACTGAATATTTACAAATATAAATTTATAAATATTAATTCATTTATATGTATTTCCCTTTTAGAAGTGTCGAGGAACAACAATTAACAGCAAATATATATATTTATTTATAGTATTTTGTTATTATACAACGTTCTTTTATCTAGAAATCTTACTCTCTGGGTTCTTTTCTTTTGATATGTAACGTAAATTACGGTAAATTTTAACAACTGTATGTAAATGGATCGGAAACACTGATTTAAAGAAATAAAAATCATAATTATATCATCTAAAAATGATCTACATTAAGTAGCACTGAAAGCAATATTTTTGTTTGGTATAAAAAGTAATATTTTCGAAAACGTCATTTATGTATGCTGCATGTACACCATTTCTATGAAAATCCTTACTTTACCTTTATTTTCGCAAATGTTATGTCATGGACATATACTTTCAGTTACAAAACGTTTCATATAATGCAAATATTCATGATTTGACTTTGTTAAATTTAAGAAGTCAATGTTATGAAATCCAAATTTTCATACTTTCTTTCCGCCCTTAAATTTAGGAAAATTTTGAATGCTATGAAAAATAAAATATAAAAAGTTTGACATCCGTACGGCAAAAAGTTGACCAAGAAATTTAAATTCAAAATTTGGCATACCTTACGTTATCCGTTTCAAGTCAGAAAAGAAGCACACCAAAGTAAAACAAAATTAGCAAAACAACAACCTTGTGTGTGGCGTAAATTTTAATCAAGACTCTGCCGATTTCGAGGGCAAACAGGTACAAATCCCTCTTTATCAGCATCAAAGAAATCTGCACCGAAAGAACTGGCCGACTGACTGGTCCAATATCGCCACCAATACCGCACAAGGCTGCAGTGTGCCCGCCTCCACTGAATGATGCGACAAGGGCGCATAACGTGGAACTATCTGTATTGTGTAAAATGAAGAATATTTTGATACTTTGAGGAAAGCCACGGTTGTATTTACACGCAAAAGGGCTAAAGCGAAAGAGAACGTAGCGCCATCTGTCGGCAGAAATAGTGACGAAAATTGAAAAATTTAAGTTAATATAATTTTAAAAGCGTTAGGAAGGACGAGATTTGAACTAAAGTCATTAAGTGATAAGTTAATTTTTAGAAGCAAATTAACTGTTTAGTTCATGTTTAGTTAAACAAGTTAACTGTTTAGTAAATAATAAACAATAAACCCTGTATTGCGTTTAGTAAATAATAAACAACAACCAAAAAAAAAAAATAAATAAACGCTGTTCATGTCTTATTATTATTTACTAGCTGCACCTCATGAAGTAACTCATTATTATTGTTATTATACATATTTTCTTTCTTATAGAAACTACTTCAGGCGGTTAGCAGCTCAAGCGGCTAGTTCCTTTAAATGCTGTGCATATGCCCATTCTATATCGCATACAATGTGTACTTCAATTAAATGGCTAGCCCAATCCCCAACTAATAAAGGTTTTTTTTCATGTTTCTTGGGTAGCTGTAGACTTCTTCCTTTCATAAGAATTCTTCTTTCCCTCATTCTCTATGTACTAGACCAATGTTTCTCAGCCGCCAATCCGTGGACCGGCACCGGTCCGCAAGAAATATTTGCCGATCCACAAAATATCCAGCTATCTGTCTAAAAAATTGTGCCAATGGGTCGAATTATTAAACTTATCGGTCCGCGAGAATGTACCGAAATATTTTACCAGTCCTTGGAGTAAATCTAGTTGAGAAACACTGTACTAGACTACAGCAGAATCCGGCTGCAGAAATTTTTCCATCCCATTCAATACCACTTTTCGCCCTCCTTGTCAATTAACTTTACATTAATTCTATAATTTAGACCAATTTTTTCCCGCCTCCCAAAATGTCCTCTCGTGCACATGCATTTGTTGCATCTTAGATGGTGCTCGTGATGGATTATGATAGATGTTCCACATTTAAATCAGTTCGCCCTTTGAACTGTTTAGACTGCCTGAAAAAACTTCCTTTGACCTGTTTAGACTTGCCCTTTGAATTACAGACTGTTGCAACTGTGATGATAAGGACAACCCAGACGACTATTTTTCTAATTGCTTATAACTGGAAGGCATTTTGTACCTTATAAAAGCATCTAAAGTATAAAAGGGATGCCTGGTACATCAATTTAAAGCAGAATGGGGCAACGTTACACAAGTGGCAAAAAAGTAACATCTGCTTCTAGAGTAGTCAAGAGACTTCACTGATGAAGTCTCTTGAGTATCAAGGGATTTCATCAATGAAGAAAACTTGATACTCAGTTGAGTATCAAGAGACTTCATCAGTGAATCACGAATAGATATTCAAAAATCTCAAAAATCTTATTTTGGACCTTGTATCTCAAGTCTTAATGTTGCAAAAATATGCTTACATTAAATTCAGAATATTTATTGGAATTAGATTTAACATCTTGTAACTTCGCTAGGTTTGGCACACAGTAGGTAACTTTCATAGGTTCGAAATCTAACTGAAGGCTATGATGGTCAGCTGCAGTTCTCATGGCAACCAACAAAACTGCAATATACTGTGTTTCATTAACAGACTTTGTAACATTTCAAAACAAAATTTAAGTTACGAGAAATAGTTATGCAGCAAGATTTTTTTTAAATTTTACATTAGCATTACCGTTATCATTTCTCGAAAAGTCGTAGTAATATAAATAAATATTTGGAAAGAAATTAAAAAATAAACTCACTGATTTATTTTTTAGGTCTGATGTGACTGACTGTGATCTGTGTCTTAGCATTTCGAACATTTTCGACACCGCTCCACGGCTGTCTGACCCGGATCTAGGCCTGTGTGGTTCGAATAAAAGGTTGTTCTGTGGAGGAGGTATGCTATGGGTGGCGAGAGGTGAGGTTGGACTAACTACGGTCGAGCGAGAAATTGTACCCGTGGGTGACATCATGCTGGACCTGAAATTGAAAGAAACGGGAAAAGTGTAAAAATAATAGAATTTAACATTACAATAAAATTTTATTTCCTTTTATATTATTAACACTTATACTTAATTGAAGAAATAAGGGAAAAAAGGAGTATACATAATTTAACCTTCTGAATCAGGAATGGACTGAAAAATACCACATGTAGGCGAAACTGGATTTCGCTTTAACGAGGTATAGATAGATAACTGGAGAAGCACTCCTACAAACAACATTACTACAATGTGCTTTCGTTGTAATATGGCTCAAAAAAGAGCTTTTAGATTAAAAATCATGAGTTCTCAAAATATACAGGGGAAAAATACCGAAAAAAAAAAAGTTAAACAAATCAAATACATTAGAGTCTTGATTATCCAACGCACCAGGAAAACCTATTGAACATTATTAATTGTTGTTAAAGTATGAGATTTGTTTTTAAAAATTGACATTACTCAAAGCCATCTGTAACTCTATATAAGAGCTGAAATGCTAACAAATTTGGCAGGGCGACTGACACGGGAGTAAAGATTCCGTGGGAAAAAAAAAATTTCCAAAAGTTGTCGATAGGGGGAAATGTGGCGCTAATCTAATCTATACAACTTAAAATTTGCATGAAACGTAGGTAAAATTTGAAAATGCAAAAGCTTCGTTACGTAAATGACAGCAGCGTCAGTAATTCATTGCATAAAGATAAGGAAAAAACACTAAATGCCATTTCGACTGGTGCTACAGTTGCTGTACTCATTGGTACAGCGATTGTGGCACCATAATTTTACAAGTTTTCCCTTAGAACAGCTTATGCTTCATGCATGCGCAGTAGACATTTTTTCAGCATGGTAACTTAACGTCCCTTGGCGACGAATAGCGACCTCCACCCACGCGCAATCAACCACTGTTCATAGGTCAAAAGATAAATATTTAGTACTGTTTGGATTAAGAATTACTGATATTTTAGTGAGATAAGCCCGGATATGCGAGAATTTTCTTACTCGGGATGTAAAAAGCATATGAGAAAATATACATTATTCCTATTTCACTCCTGATTTTTTATGTGTTTGAATTGCCTTTGCTGTAGGTTTCTGTAACGTGCAGTAATCAATTAACTTTATTTCACATTTATTTCCTAATGCATTTTCGTTTGATATTCCATCTCATACTGTTATCTTAACAGCTCTTAACTTATTTGAATTCATATTTTCCGTGAAGGCATCTCTCATTCTAGGCAAAAATAACCTTTGAGTACTTTGACATAACCAATTAATTTAACCTTATTTTACACTTATTTTCCAATGTAGGTTTCCCCTTCTTCCTTTTTTGATATTTCATTCCCTTATATCCCATATGTTACATGTTTACTGTTATCACAAACAAAATATCTCATTCCGCAGGTTATTATTGATTGCATTATCTTACCTATTAATAATCCGATTCTTGGTGTATTCTTCCAAGAACTCTGACTAGGCTTACCATAATATTTTTTTACTCAAACTGAGACTTTTTTTTAACTGAGATAATTTTTTTTAATTTCATAGTTAGCTGGCATACTGAAAATTTATCAATGCTATCATTTGAATAGGACTGTGCAATGAAATGTGTTCTTTGAAATGACAGAAATGTTGCAAATCCATTTTTCTTCGCAACTTTTTTTTTCCAAATTTAATAATTAGCTGACCAAAAAGCTTTTGAAATCATTACTTCACCGAAAACTTGTTCCATGTTTATTGTATTATTTATGTATATGTACATGCGTTCCTAGATTTCATAGGGAGAAATAGGACTTCGAACATTCCAAACATAAAATACTATCTTTCATAATAATCATGAAAATATAACAAATAACTAAACTCTGATAATTTAGAGTAAACTTCCGCAACGTGTCAAAATTTAGCGGAACAGTGTGCTTTTAGCCGCCAGTTAAATCGGCAGTAGTGTATAGCGAAGACCAGTCAATTAATTACACCAGCAAAGCATAACGTGTGATAAGGCAAGACACTACTCACTTTACAGAAGAAAAGGTTGTAAAACCTTTTTGCCTCTTGCATAGCCGCCTCCTTTCCGGATCAGTGACTTTTTCTAGTGGGGTTATTTGAAGTTCAAAGTCTGTTTTGAAGGGTTCCTGACCTCGATGGCCTTAAAGGACAGTATATATCACAGGCTCTGTTGAGCATTTCCTAGCGATATGTTACATTCTACCGTCTAGAATAATGTGTATAGGATGTAATATGTGATCTACGAGAAGGTGGTCACATTGTAAGAAGTCTAAGCCTTCGCCGACGAAGTTGTGTAACTTATTTTCTGCAGCAAAGTGGTGTTGCACTAATATTTATTCTTTATAATTAATTTAATTCTCAGGTGTGTAGCTTAAAGCAGAGCAACATTTTATCCTTTCAACTTAAACTTTCGAAACTATTTTTTAATGAAATTTTTCCCCGTCATTGCCAGTCACCCTACCAAATTTGGTGCCATTCCAGTAGATAGACTGAGCTATACAGATGACTCTGAATGGTGTCAGTTTAAAAACAAACACCCTTTATATGGCAGGATAGCAACCTAGACATTTCATAATCAAGATCACAGAAGACTGTATTACAATTCGCGTGTAACAGATGGTTACTGTTCGTTATTGTACTGCTTGCAAACCATTTGTGTGTTTAATCTTAGTTTGTGCTTTGCCTATGTATTAAATGTGTTTAATGGAAAAATATACACAACAGAAAGGAGGTAGGTAAGCAAAAAGTTCTTGCCGTTTTCGACGTTCCATTTGAAGCACTCACACTAAGAAACAAAGATTTAGAATAATCCTTGACCTGCACTAATACAGGCAAGTTGTGCACACATAGCAATCACACCTAGTCCATTATCGAAGAGAAATGTTAGTATAAAAGCATCTTGTTTGCGGTTGTTTGTTATAGAACTTTACAGTGGGCATATCAGCTGCTGCATCAAATCACCGAATATGTAAGTCATTTGGATAGAATGCAATGAACGAACGCACCACAGGCATTTGTTCCAGAAGTTCAGGTCGATAGTCAGCCTTTGTGATGAGCATAGTAGCAATCAAAGTTATTGGATGTTGTACAAGTTAAGCAAGCGAGCAGCCAACAAGAACAATAAGTGATAACCTATTTGTCGTTAACGTCTCGGCGCTGCAACGTACCCACATTTGGTTGAGTGCTCAAGAATTCTGAAAGACAGACCCAGTAACGCAAGATTATACTCTGTATCTGGTCGACTATTCGACATCTGGTTTATTACTATCTACTACCTAACGTATTTTCGTTTGATACCGCATCATCATTGAGAAATAGCAAAAATGCGAAGGTTTATTCACGTCGATTCTCGGTGGATAGATTGCCCACTACTGAAGTTTGTCACCCAAGCCAAGAAACCGAACATGCTAATATTGTGGATGTCTGAAGTCTCTGTACGCCATGCGTGTTGCGCTAATTCACAAGCGAAAGCTGTCTTCAATACTATCTTCAAAGTAAATACTGCCATCATAGAAGAAGCGTGAACTAATAACTTGTATTCCACTCTTTCGCTGTACTCTTACGCGATGGTTCGATGTCGGAAAAATAAACTTGGAACCAGCCTCACCCAAAAAATATTGTTAAAAGGACATAAAAATTTAAGCTTTGAATGCATTTAATCTAAAGACGTTTTTTGTTGCCTCATACCTCTTACGTTCCATGTACCTGTTAGCAGAAATTAGGTTGTATTATTTGTTAAGTCGCTTTGAAAGAACTAGTGACTTTCAAGAACCATAATAACTTTTTGGCAAAGTAGCTTGTTGAACTTATAGCACATATTAATCACTTGCTTTAATGTAAGATGGCATCGTCTACAATAATCGGATGACGCGGCAAGCTGCGAAACACTTTCTTTCCTCGATGAAAGAACACAAACAATTTTTCTATTAAAAGACGATGACGCAATTGATAGATTTTTGCATGTAAAAGAAGGTTACTTCTCTTCATCTGTAAGTAATCTTATCTACACTCATGTCCATAAATTAAGGATAATTCGGAGTCACGCGAAAATCGAACTTTAAAATAAATATATCACCTGTCAAATCACTACACACATCTTCAAGAATCATATGCAAATTTCAGGAAGTAACCAGATGACACCGATGGTACGTCACAATGACGAGAGTGTAAGAGAGTAATATATAAGGAATACAGGCAAAGAAGTAAAATTGTTCGCAGGAGCTTTATAAGCATTTCAGTGCAATAACGAATAGTTATGACACAAAGGACGCATTTGGATGATTTTTTACGTGGTAGAATTATCGGCCGTCTGGAATGTGGGCGTACCCAACTGGAAGCATCAGAAGAACTTGGAATTGCCCAGAGTGTCATCTCCAAGCTTTAGCAACGATTCCAAGATGATTATAATGTGAGTAGACGTTACAGCACAGGTCGCCCCAGAGTTGCAACGCCGAATGAGGACCGGTATTTGAGAGTTACTGCCAAAAGAAACAGGCGGAGCACAGCCTCAGACCTGTCTCTTCAGCCACTGGTACGACAATTTCAAGGCAGACCGTGTACAGACGCTTAGGGCAGATTGGTCTATATGCTCGTAGACCTGTCAGATGCGTTCCACTTACTGCAACTCACTGTCGCCTGCGGTTAGCCTGGAGTAGAGAGAGCATCCATTGTGGACACCGCTACAATGGGCTTGTGTGATGTTTTCCGACGAGTCCAGGTTTAGTTTGCAGTCTGATACTCGCCGGACTTTCATATGGAGAGCTCCAGGTAACCGTTACCACCAAGAAAACATCATTGAACGACACCCTTACAGTGGTGCAGGAGTGCTCGTTTGGGGTGGAATTATTCTGGGTTCCTGAACTGACCTGCATGTTCAAATTGGAACCACGACAAGCCAAATCTATCGGGACGTCATTCTGGTACAACATGCACGTTTGTTTCGGGGAGCCATGGGCGCACAATTTGTGTTTATGGATGACAACGCCCGTCCTCACCGTGCAAACA